CACCTTGAGTAGCCTGTCGATTTCTTTTGGACCGCTTTGATGGTCCTTTCCGTTTCTTTCTTGACTGTTTTCTTGTTTTCTTTGTTTATTTCCTCATATTTGATGGCCAATAAGCCAACCATGCAAAAATTAGGGGTGGCGGCTGATCTCTTTGCCCTGGTATTTTGGAGACTAAGCTCATCTTCAAGGATAGATTGAAGGATGTCCAGCTTCTGGAATGGTTGACCAAAAGAATTTGTAAATCTTAGATTCTTTAAAGGTTATTCGTATGATTTTCAGTGTCATTCTTTATATTTGTTTTTTGGAGAACTTGATCTACTCTGATTGTTGTTTTTAATTGGATTTTCTTTGATCTATTATGTGTTATTATCACTATGATGAAAATTCTTTCTGTAGATGCCGTATGACTGTGTTTTAATTAAATAAGTTCTGCTGAGTTGAAAAAAAACAGTCTTACAAATCCTTAAAAAAAAAAAATAAAATCATGGGGATAATTGTGTTTCTAAGAAAAATATTTTTAAGGAATCTTTTTATCCCCTACGAAATTATAAAGGGCTGTTTTGTCAATTGGGATGAGAATTTAATTAGATCTATCATATTTTAAAGAATTTAGTTGAGTTATCCTTTATTTTAATTTCTACAAAATTTTTATTTTTAAATCATAAAGTATTATTTGATGGAATTTATAATTGATATCGGCAACATAAAAACCTTATAATTAAATGGTTAAAGTAGAAGTTCAAACTTCTAAAAGTGCCAACTTATTTTTTGTACTTAATTCATGTCTTAATCTAAACGTTAAGTGACAACACTACCGACACTCACTCAATAATGACATCTTTATTCCCTCTTGATTATTAAGGTACTTTTAATTAAAAATCTTAAATTTAATTTTAAAATACTTTAAATAAAGAGATTTAGGTTGCATTTGGGGTTGTGGTTATGAGGTTTTTGAGGTAGTCACACAATATTTTTAAATATATGTGTGATTAATAATTTTTTTTCACATTATTTTTTTTAAAAGCTACAAAAAACCACAGTAGAGTTACAGTAATTTTATATATAAAGTCAAAAACTTTATTTTAGAGATTTCTGACTATGATTTTTATGGATAACACATAATATTTAATATAATTACAAAATTACCCATTAAAACGTAATTTTATATAATTTAATTACATCATATTTTATAATATTTTAATAATAATAATAAATTAAAAACTTAAAATATTAAAAAATAATATATATTATTTATTTTAATAATTATATATTTTATAATATTTTTTAAAATTTAATCAATAATTAATAAAATATATGATATTTTTAAAAATAAATAAAAAAAATAGTATAATAACATTCAACCATAGTACAGTATAGCACAATCACAGTTACAACATAATACAATAACAGTTATAGTACTTTATAACAACCCCAAACTCACCCTTAGAAAATTAAAGAGTTATATCATTTGTTGTTATCAAAATGTTGGTTTTATAGATATTTAAAATGAATTTTATTGTGTTAATAATTTAAATAACTTAGTAATTATTTTTTTATTTAAAACAAAAAATAATAAATTTGAATCATATAATATATAAATAAAGTGAAATAAAAATTAAAAAATAATTATTTTTTATTATATAGCTAAAATAAAAAAAATAATATAATAGGTAGCTTTTTTTTTTTTCTTTTTGTTTCATCTTTCACGTAATAGATGGGGCATATTTTTTTATTTTTGACAAGAGTAATGATTAGAAAATTAGTGAAGTTAGTTGTTAGTAACTGAAATTTTTCAGACTGATGAACATTTCATCCCCTCATATGAGGCGACGCGACCATTAGATTGCAAATTAGTGAAATTCACTGCGGTGACAGTGTTTAAAATCTTAACTTTCGTCTCACCCAAACCTTAAGGTTTGGGGCCAATTACTGTACCTCAGGCCCGGTTGGCGTAATAAATGGGCATATCGGCGTTGAAAGAAGATGGAAGTACCACTTATTATTATGTTAGAGGGAGAGATTTGACAGCGATATGAATAGCAAGAAACGTGGAAGGATAAAAAGAATAAATGGACATGGGAATTGGGAATGGAACAGATAGAGTTCAGTTTCATCTACACTAGGAAACCAGTGGTTAGAACTTGATGGACAAGTTCATATCCACATCTACCCCTCAATTATTTTAGGGGTAGGCCCTGCCCTTTAGCCCCAATCTTATCCAATATATATCCAGTTCAGCATATGCCCTTCTTTTGGGGGAAAAGGAAAAAAATGTACCCAGAATATAGGAGCTAGTATCTAACAATGTTGGCCTCTTAACCACTAAAATTTTGACATTGCCTGGTGGCCCATCAAAGAGGGCTTAAGTCAATTAGTTAACCTACAATTTCGAAGTTGTGGGTTAACTCTCATGGTGAGTCTTTTTAAATTTTTTTACGATTTTATATATTTAAGTGGGAGTAAGTATTTATTTAATCTTAAATTTTATACTTTATACTCACCTAAAATTTCAATTTTTAAT